AACAGGACCGTGGGAAGTTCAAGAAGATGAGGCTGGCACCTCCCTAAGGAATTCACAGTGTTGTGGCTGGCTGGCTTGGGGACTTGGGTTTAGTCTGGCCAGATTTTGTCTTGTGGTGGAAGCTAATAAACGCAACAGAACTGTATTTGCATTGTCTCGTGAAGTTCTTTGGGCTGAATCTGACAATAACTGAAAATGCAAGTTGAATAATAGAGAAATGAGAGAAAATCCCGCAACTCAATAATTTTTTCTCACCATTTATTTATTACATATTGCAGTGGTTCTTAAACTGTTTGACCCGATTACCCCTTTTCCCAGTCTTGAATAATGCCTTTACTCCCACAAAAAACGCAGACTCTGTTGTTCTACACAAGCATCTCAGCCATAGCAGTCCCAAACCAGATCCTTAACTCACAAACAAACAATTACAAATTGCTCCATTACCCTCAGGATATGCCCACATTACCCCCTTGGGATTAATTATCCCCTGTTTAACAACCACTGGCATATTGTATTCATATTCCTGCAAAACTACTGTGCTGCTTAATAGATGTTCTACAATAACTAAAAAGATGGGAGATGCAGTTGGAGAACAGAGGAATATTAAGACTTGACAGTGTTGTCTAGTTCCAATGAAATTCCATGAACCAGATAGAGAAATGACACTATAAAAAGCACATTGGTAAAGACCATTGTTTTGTTAAAAGAATCAGCAAAAAAAGCACAAAGACTATTCCCCATGTATGAACTTTAATTACATTTTGCTATTCCTGCCGAAAACTAGAGAGAACTCTCATAAGACAGTTGTTTAGGGTGTGTTGGACCCGTAGCTTAAGCCAAATTCTCAGGTCAATGAACTTGCCCTTTGGAGTGGAATCAAGATGTATTAAAACATAAAATCTAGCTGTCCATTCCCATGTAAGAGTAGCTTAGTCAAAGTATTAGACTTGAATCTCCCAGGCTTAAATGGATTGTCATTTTTGGCATTGGCAGGAGTCAATGTTTCTCTATCTTCTTGCTAAAGGAAATCCACAGAAAAGGCCATCTGTTCTAAAGAAGTTGAAATAATAGGCCACATGATTCAATAGAGTTTGCCTTAAGCTGTTGTTTACATACAGAAATAAACAAGCTCTGTTTTTGGAAAACAAGAATCTCTGTACTTAGTTTGAGATTACTTGGCCTTATTTGCACTGTAAGTATCTAGAACTACTCATCACGGTTAGGAATACAAACAAACAAACAAAATATTCCAGGATAGACAGTCTATGATCTCATTTACCTACTAATAGGGCTACCAGATCTGAAGTAAAACATCCAGATGATCACTAGATATTTTTGCTGCCACCTAATGGTTGTTTGGGTATTTGCAGACCAAATGTAGCCCTATTAGAAACACACCACCATCCTTTTCTCCCTCTCCACAATTTGCAATCCATTCCTACTTATCTTTCAAGAAAAAAGAGAAAGGCAGTAACAATGTTATACTTTTTATTGAGCTCTGGTTTTTCTCAATTAACCTAGTTTTCTAGATCCACATGATACACTGAGCCATAAAGTTGCGGTAGGCTGATACATTGCATCAAGTTAACATAACCTATCATTACATACAGCTTCACCTTGACTAGCCATTCCATTGTCAGCTAATATTATCTTATGGTGCAATATG